GTGCGTCGGGGGACGGGACAGGACTGGGTGTGCCCCCGCTCCGCCGGGGGAGCCGCATTCCCAGCCTCCGGCCGGTGCCGGCCGCCTCCTCGCCCCTGCGAGGGCACGTACCCCTCTCGGGGAGCGGGGTGCCGCGGCGGGGCCCGGGGGGGGGGGCCTGAGACAGGGGGGGGGGCTGCCCGCCGCCGCTGGAAACTGCCTCTGGGGGTTTTTAATGATGCTGATTGGGTTAGCAGATGAGGTGTGCCGAGTGATAGCTGGGTGGTGGTGAGGAAGGTGTTAACTGCACCTCGGTCCTTGGACTGTCTTGCCTGCAGGATCACTGCGTTTTCTGTGTGGGTCGCAACCCTCCAAATGCCGCGAGCGAAGTCATGCTGGCCAAACTCTGCTCAAGTGGTTGCGTGATCGACCTTTAGTCCCTCTGGCTAGCAGAGGTGTTCTGGAGTTCAGATGCCAGCCTCAGTTCTGTCCTTGCGTTTTGTGAGCACTGGCAGTCTGCGAGAGCCGCTCGGCTGCGAGCCTTGTACCAGCAAGTACCAACGAGTCGGGTTGTCTGTGCTTGAAATCTGCCTGAGAAGCCGCTGTAAAACCTTTGGTACTTCGCTACAGTATGAAAGCCCTCCAAGCTTCTGTCTGTGTGGATGTAGGCATGTTTAAAAACAGTATATGGCGTCAGAAGGGAACTGGGATCTTAAGTGTGCCAAAGGTAGCCTTGGCTAATTCACCTGTAAATAGACCCCTGTTCGCTTTAGTGGTGGAGCCAAAATCAGCCAAGTGTGTTGGCTGATGGAATTGTCTGTGCAGATGTGCTTGGTTACAGTAGCTGCTGTAATTAGCAGTACTAACGCAGCGAGAATGGAGGGCCCTTGGCGCAGTCAGAGCTGGGTTAGGTGAGAGATGTGTCAGTGGAAATTAAGTGTCTCACTGAAGGATGCGGAGTTGGTGTTCTAACAGAAACTCTCCGGTGGTCTGTATGCCTTAAAAACCTCTACTTCTCCAAGAGAAAGTCAATGATTCTCTAAGACCTAATGTGTCTCTGTCCTATGCAATACGTGGTTATTTTACTTAATAAATTACTGACCTGAGTTCTAAACTAGGTTTAGGTCTAATTGGGTATTATACTTCGAAAGCAATTGCCTCTCTTGTTTTTCCATCCTTATCTACTCCAGAGATACCAATCTCTAGTCATGCAAATGGAGGTGGTTACGTTAATTGTGTTTAGTGTAATCAAGTTAAATTCAGCAACTGCATTTATTTTAAAAACTTGTTGCTTCTGTTTTATACCCAGCAAAGAACTTGTGTTTCCAGAAACTTGCTGTTTTTTTTGATGTATATGAAATTTCTTCCATTTCTTCCTGGTTTTACTGCCTTTCATCTGTGCCAGAACTTCTGCCTATGTTTTGTCCCATTTTAAAGGGAGTGAAGAACAGAAAACATTCTCCTTTTCTTCAGAAAGAACAACTTGTTTCCCTACCCACTGTTTCGATTTTTTTTTTTCTGTTACCAGAGTAGCTTTAAGATGTCCTAATATTTCTACAGAAAACTTTCTGAAGTAACTTGCTCTGTTCTAGCAGTTACCTGTTGCTTTTCAGTACTGGCCTTGTTTCCCATGTACAAAACATGAGACTTATGACATCTCCTGTAGGTCTACATGCTAAATTTCATGAACTTTGCTCAGAGTAGCAGAGCTCTGAGTAACTTATCTCCGGGTGCTTGTCAAACATGATTGCCTATACTTGTAGATAGCAATGTTGACTAAGAGATATGATCAAACTGGGCACTTAATGCTAAAGGTTGAAGTGTAAGTGCCATCATGCTCTGTAGTTGAGAAGGAAGATACTAATCCTTCATACTGTAAAGATTAAAACATGCTTTGACCCAAAGTGCATTTCTTGTGTAGCTGGGAAAGAAAGAGCATTCTTTCAAGGACTTAAATACCTGCTCAGTGTTGGCATTACTGTGATGAGTGCAGACTGTAAAGTTAAACACATACCTGAGATGGTATGATTCAAGGCCATGACATTTGCTTGATGCAGGCAGGTGAAGAGAAGAAAGTCATTAGCTTTGCAATGCGTTCCTAAACAAAACGCTGTTCAATTGCAAAAGCAGACTGTCCTCAATAATGGTAGTACTAGCAGCTGAAAAGCTTGTAGTGACAGCCAATAGTTTACCTGGTGTGTTTTGGAGATTTATAAGCATATTGTATTCTGGAGTTCCCTATGCTGGCAGTTTTGTCGCAGGGTTGAGACTGTGACTTGGTCTGCATGTGATTTCTTGATGACAACGAGTGTCTACAAAGCGGAAAAGCCATGGTCCTAAAAGGAGAATTTTTCCTGACCTAAAGTACTAGCTTGTGGGCACTAAAGTTGTTTGATCAAGCCTTAAGTTTTGATTTGCAATTGCCATGCGTTTCTGCTTAAGATGATCTAGGGGCAGCTATCGCTTTCTTTATTATAGTTTTTGAGTCCACGTTCTGTCAGGGCAGAGAAGGAAACCCATGATGTGAGGAGTGAGGAAAGTGGTGCTAAAGCAGATGAGGGCAGGCGTTTCCTGCCTCTGCCAAATGGTAAATCAGTTGTGCTGTGTTCTGGAGGAGAGTAGGAGCAACCTGGAGATGGTACAGAAACGGGACAAATGGGTCAGATGTGCAGATCTAAGCCTATGTATTTTTTTGAAACAACACTTGAAAGCAGACTGGAGAAAATATTTAGAATGGACCTTAAAATGCTTTTCAATGTTGAAATATTGATGTTAGCATTTTCTCTCTTTATGGTTTATTCTATCTAGTAAACTTTTTCTTTTATCAGGTATCTGAAGAAATAGCCTTAAGATGAACTTCTTCCTGGAAACACTCCAAGCCATTGGATTTTCTGCTTATTACTCACTGGAGTCACTACTGTTCTTGATTGTGCCCAGACGAAAGAAGAATGTTAGTGGTGAAATAGTGTTAATAACAGGAGCGGGAAGTGGGCTTGGAAGATTCTTGTCTTTAAAGTTTGCCAGCCTTGGAGCCACAGTGGTTCTCTGGGACATTAATCAAGAGGGGCTCAAGGAAACAAGTAGACTGGCCAGAGAAAATGGAGCAGAGAGAGTACACTGTTACACCTGCGACTGTAGCAAAAGGCAGGAGATCTACAGAGTAGCTGATCAGGTAAAGTACCTTATTTGTGGCTTTGACACTATTCTAAAATGAGCATGTGCACATGTGTATGATGCATGAGGAGTTTTAGTGACTTCAAAGAAAGGGATTATAGTTAATTCATTCAGAATGTATTGCGCATGCTACTTATTTCAAGAATACTGTTGTGGGTTTTTTTTTAGAGTGGACTTGTGTACCTCTGTTCCTTTAAAAATAAAGAGCTGGTTCTCTTCTTCAGTAGCTAATTTCAACTGGGTAGCTTCTCATTCATTCAATTACAGAGCAAGCACTTACTGGTGAAGTGCAGAAAATCAATTTATTGAAGCTAAAGCAGTATTTCAAGTACTAGCAGTCTTTTAACAAAAGTAAATCCTAAAGACCATACATGGTAAAAAGGATTAACTGCTTAGGCAATTTCCAAATAATTCCATGGCTGTGAATAGGTTTTTTGCAAACTCAATTTATCAGAACTAATAAATGTATCTTGAAGTTTGAAATATTTCTTACTTTCCTTTCTGAAGAGCTTTGTAAATATAGCATGTTGTTAGATATTTTAGGCAGACTAGTAGAATTGCCAAAAGCTAAAATTGCTTAACAGTTTCCATTATAACAACCTGTTCTTGTTTGCTTAAAATGTTGCTAAACTTAACTGTTGGACTAGAAAGTTTCCACAGTGAATGTTTGCCTGAGGATGAATACTTAAAAAAAAAATTCAGCTGTCTTCAGGAACATCTGTTGGTGCTGTTTAAGAAGCTCTAGCCTTCTGTGTTTTTCTATCTGTGCAAAAAATGACTGGAACAAGCTTTCTGGTAAGTGAAGCTCGTGCATGGCTTTCAGCTTGTTAGAGGCTAGTACTATTGGTTTTGTGTTCTGGTAACGCTGATCTCTCTGGGTCCCCCTTGCAGCTCCGTTATTCCAGCTGAGCTGCAAGTTTGCTGTCCCTGCAGAGCAGTCGCATATGTCTCACTGCAGGCCTGTAACTGTGCTTTCTGCTGAACTGGGAGGAGTGGCAGAGGAGGAGGGAGTATTGTAGTGTGAAGGATGCTGGAATGAAGAAGATGGAAACTAACCTTCAGTTTTGAGGACACAAGGGCTAGCACTTCAGTCCCATGGAGAAAAGTAGTAGCAAAGCCTTTCTGGACAGATACAAAAAGAAGAGGGTGTACATACGTGTGTGACACAGGTCAGGGATGATAAAAACAGAGGTAGACAGGAGTGAAGTGGTAAGTGCATGATTCGGTGCATGATTCCTCATTGATAATCTTCTGTAAGTAGCTTGCTAAAAGCTGTTCCAAGAATACGCCTCCTGCTGATCCACATAGAAGAAAATATGCTACTACTGTTATTTCAGAAATGCCATGTCCTGCTGACAACTTTTCCATCTTATTACTGACAAAAAACTTCAGCATTAGTTGGCGCTTGGTGCCGCTGTTTACTCAATGCCATGTAGTAGGCTTTGGCTTATGGTGTGCATCTCAGCAAGATGAGGTAGTGCAGTTCCAGGTTTGTTTTCTCCCTCCTGGTCATGCAGCTTCTTACAATGACTGGAGTTTAGCAAGATACAGTGAACTAAATTCATGCAGGCAGGGCAGGACATGGTTGAAAACTTTGTGCCCAGTAAAACAACCTCAAAGCTGTAAGGAAATGTACATGAACCTTAAATACCTGCTTCTAGTACTTCATCACACACACGAAGACAAGGAAAAAGTCACTTCGATAGGAAGAAAACCAGAAAACCTTCTGCATGTGGTGTCCTTGTTCCTTTTGTGTACCAACAGGATGAAGGACAGCTTTTGGCTATCAAGAGCTGTAGCTTAAAATTTATTTCTAATATCCCTGTTGCAGAAGTACCCAGCATCAAAAGGAACATGGCCTTCTCTGATCTACCCCTCCTTCCCTCGAGTTCAGCAAAACTTTAAGAATCTAGGGCTTTGAAAGAGAGAAGTAACTATGATGTGTTTTTTTATCCTCCTACTTCTGAGGAAACAAGCCTTTTCCTCATTATCATGCTGCAAAATAGTATCTGGGCTTGCATTTACTTGCAGGATCTGTGTTGCATGGTACTTTTATTTGCTTTTCCACTGTTTGCTCTTGCTTGTTAGTCAAGATGACAGTCTGCAGCCAGTTTTCCACTTTTCTGAGAATCTTCTTTTCTGTGCAGAGGTGCAACAGTAGAAGCATGTTTCCTGATGGTATTTCATGCTGCCTATGAAACATTGAGTGTGTTCTTCCACCTCTTGTAGGCAATTACAGAAGGGTTCATGGCTCTTAGAAAGTAGACACTTCAGGATGCTGTTTGGGAATCATGGGAATTGCTCACTACTGAACTTCAATATAAAAGCATATGAAAAAGGTGCTCAACCAGATCAGCTGTTGGCATAATGCTTGCCTTACCTAGGCCTAAAACAAACACCTGGAACACACTTTCCTGCACTGCACAAATGGAGAGGTTTAGAGCTCTGGGAAGTTGACATTATCTTCCCCTCTCCCCTTAATACCTAAGGAAAAGGCTTGGTAAGGGTCTTCTGTACTTGACCTCAAAGCAGAGTTTGAAGCCTGGGCTGAGTGTCTTGGCTGTGTCATACATGGAGTATAGCTGAGAGGGGAAAGGAATTAAAAAGGGCAATTTGCTGAGGAAAGAGCTGACACATCTAGTTAGTAAGGAAGCAGTGTGAACAGAGGTATTGTAAAGTTGGAATGATTTGTCTGGGTAGCAAGAAGGCACTTAAATCTGCTTTGAATTCCATCCAAAGTGTGAGTATATTTTGGAAGACAGAGTAGAGACAGGTGGTAAAGGAAGAGGTTGTTCTGGTGTTTACCATTAGCTAGAAGTGAGATGATCAAGGTTCTGTTCTTATTTCCTTTCTATCTAACCTGAATCACCAAGTTATAAACTGTACATACCACATCCCCCACCTCTGTCCATGTTTGTTCACGCAACTGAAGCATAACCACTTATTCAGGTATTTGTTATTTGCCCTGAAGGGTAGGTTTGAGGTAGTGGGCCAGGCTTCCAGAATTGCTGGATCATCTGACACAAGGCAGTATTAAAGCATCATTTACTAATGATTACAGTTATGTCTCTGAATGCATACTATTTTTAACTTGTGATGAGAGGTATCATACTCAGGTTGGTGACTAGAACCACTTATCTAAGGCTGCCTATGGAGATCATGTGGTGTTGCTTCAGGAATATTTAAATTGTTACATGATAACTTTTTGAGAGGGGAATAGACAGACAAGAATGTGTGAGCAGTGACTGAGGTGGAGAGGGGCTGGTGCTGATGAACGTACTATAAAAGCTGCTCTGTATAATCCTACCAAGGCTGCTTTCTGTTTCTTAAACCTTTACTTAGTTAACAAACATGGACAAGATTCAAATAAGTTAAAGGATGATGAGGAAGTTAAGCTAGAATAAAGGGTAATTTACCACCTATTAAGTTAAAGGATGATGAGGAAGTTAAGCTAGGATAAAGGACAGGTGGTAAATTACCCTTTAATTCTTTACTGTTGTACAGGCTAGCCTACCTGGTCTGCTTGTGCTTTCTTCAGGCACCTAGAAAAGGAAATGCCATTAAGAAATGAGGTTCTGTGACCTGCAACTGTGTGGCAAGATGGCATAAAACCAGCTGGTTTCTTAAAGCTACTGATCAGCACATGTTTAGAACTTGACCTGGAAATCGCAAATTAAACAACAGAGTACCCATTTCATCTCTTCCAGATAGTTCGGATTAATGAACTGTACTTCAAATACTGCATTAAATATTTCCATTTTTCCTTTTGAGAGCCGGCATGGTATCTTGATATCAGCTGGCCTGTAGTTGTTCTCTCAAGTGAGTCTGTTCATGAAAGTTCTCAGTCTGGAGCTAAAATGAGAACTATACTTCCTCTTACTGAACTAAATATCTAGATGTTATTCTTTAGCCAACTTATTTTCTGGGAATCATCTTACAAGGATTCTGGTATAGTGTTACAGCTGAAGCAAATGCACTAGAAACAAGCTTCTGCACTGTGATCCCTGGAAGCTCCTAAGGCTTTTCCCTTCTGTGAATGCACGTCCTAAAGTCTTCTTTAAACCCTACAGCTTTTGTTTAGTTTTCATAACAAACTACTACCCTTCCTACAGTTTTCTTATTTCTTGCATTGTCCTGAGAACTAATATTAATGAAGAAATGATGTTCTTTCAGGCTATCTTCATGAGAAATAAACTTTAAAAAAAACAAAACCACAAACCTTTTTGTTTGGTAAGATAAACTTTTAAGTTCTTGACCTGTAAAGTTGCTTGATGTAGTCAAGATACTTGAAAAAATAAAAAGGTTGTAAGGAGGAAATTAATTTTACAGGTGGTCCTTCTCACTGCCTATGCATACAAGGAATACTTCTTATCAAAAGTGACTGTTTACCCATTCTAATTCCAACATACTGAGGGCAGAAAACTCCATCTGCTCTTCCTGAAAGCTGTAGGGAAGTCTGGTTTAATGTATGTGCTGTGGAATGCAAGTAGAGCTACCACTAGTTAAAAACTACTATGTAATACGTGTCAGTGTTTAACAGTCACAGTCAGAAGTGGAGCATGTGACAAACAGCATGAAGAATCCTGAAATAGCTGAAATATTAAGATGGTACTAAGTAGCCACGGCCCTGTGCAGTGGGAGAGATGAATCCTTGGACTGTTGGGATGTAGGCAGTTAATGCTACCCACAGGGAATCACGTTTTCCTTTTTGTTGTCAAAAGACTCAAGTTCTGTGCAAGCTGGCTTCAACCTTCAAGCCATGCAGCAGCACTGCTTCTGTGTTTGAGTTGCTCTGTGGAAAGCACGAGAATTTGAGTATAATGCAAGGAACCTCACAAGTGAAAGTTTAGATATTGCAGCCCTCACGTAGATTTGATGTATCTCATTGCAGTGAACTCGCCTGAGGATCTACATGCTGTGCCTCACTGTGTGGTGTGGAAGTGGCCCTACAAACAGCATTGCTCATTGGTTTTTAAGATGGGTTTGCTGTATTTAGTGTAGTGAAATACTTGTTGTGTTAGTTAAGCTCTCTGCAATAGAGACTTATCTGGAACAGTTGCAGCAAGAGCCAGAGGTGCTGAAAGCAGAAGCCTGTGTGGAGTTGTTGGGCTCCACACCTCCAAAGAAGGGTTGGTTGTAAGCTCAGCTCTGAAAAGGCATCAGGTAAGAATGTGCAAGAACCTCTGAGGTGTTTGGATCTGTAACATGCATAGTAAGTTCAACTTAGTTGAAATGTGTAGGGTTTCTATTTCTTATGTCTTCATATACAAAACTTGGAAAGCATGTTTTGTATTTATTGCATAATATCTTGAGGCTTTTTGTTTTAGGTTAAAAAAGAAGTTGGCGACGTTAGCATCCTAGTCAACAATGCCGGTGTTGTAATTGGGAAGAGGCTTACTGATATTCCAGATTCACTTGTGGAAAAAACCATGGAAGTGAACGTAATGGCACACTTCTGGGTAATACCTGCCCTTTGCATAAACATACTTAAAGCATTTTTTTAACATGTTTTCATTGTTAATTTTGCATTTTGGAACTGAGGAAAATATGCAAGGATATATTGCTCCTTGTAAGTTCAATCAGAAATTACACATGAAATTACTTTCTATATCTGGGAGTCTAAAATAGAAAAAGGGTGGAAGAATGGGTCCTTTGGGAACTTCTGGGATAGGTAGGTGGAAGCAAAACTGCTTCATATTTAGAAAGGCTCTTAAGAACTGAACTTTACTATCTGCTAAATTTCTGAAGCTAGTCTTGTGTTATAATCCCTCGATATTAATTGACATGAAGCAGGCCCAGCCTGCTAAAAGTTGCTCTCTAGTAAGAGCCTATTAGTGTTCTAGTTGATTTGTGGTTATGATAGTTTCAGTAGGAAGTACCACATACATGTTCAGATAATGCTCTTAATAAGCGGGGCTTTTGTCCAAAATGAGTAACTTAATGTGCTTTTGCTTCCTTCCAGGGAAGGCAGGTCATCTATACAGTGTTCCTATCATAAAGAATTGCAAAGAGGATATTAAAACATGCTTCAGTTTCTTCATAAATTAATCACAAAGATTAAATGAATTTAATAGAAGGAAGACATGAAACATAATTTTTTTGCCATTTTACAAAGCTTGCAGTGAACACTTAATGCTAATTTGAAACATTGCAGTGCTGAGTTATAGGCTGAAAGAAACTTAACTAGCTGAAGCTATATCTAACTTTTAGCAAGTTACCGTCTGTCTGTAGAGTTGAGGAAAAAGCAGTACTGGTGGGGCCTGCCAAGTCCCAGCTTAGTTGCTGAAGGTTAGAGTTCAAACAACAAACCCCCTTTCCCCCCTGCCCCCTTTCATAATGGAAGAGAGGGAAGCTTATTTAAAATAAAGGAAGAATTTATTTAAAAACACCACCTTCAAAATACGATAGCACGTAGCTTAGTAAAATGTTTCATTGCAACTCTGGCTTACATTGCAGACTTGCAAAGCCTTCCTCCCAGCAATGATTGCCCGCAACCATGGACACTTGGTTACTATTGCAAGTGCAGCAGCACTGACTGGAACCAGTCATCTTGCAGGTAGTGTGTAACTGTCTAAATGAACATTATCTTTGAAGTTTGATTTAAACTCTGCAGTCAGTACTCATGAAAAAATCCTAATTTTGTGTATGTGTCTTTGCATATAGGTATACTTTCAAACCAGCTGACCTTAAATAGACCATTCCTTTCAAAAGAGTTTTCCAGAAGCTCAGCAGTGCTGTGAAACAGGTTTTTCTGCCAAGGCAGTTAGAGGATCTAGGAGCCACATAGAACTGTGTAAACTGAGAACTTCAATGTTGTTGAAGTTAACCTGTAGATATTTGGTGGGGAAGAGGCCACTACTTTTTTTTTTTTGCAAGCATGTTCTCAGCTAAGCAGAGTCTTATACAGGTTTCCCTAACTCACAGAACTACTAAAATCCAGATGTGGTGCAGAGATGTGATATCTCATTTTGCATTCTCTGTCTCTCAGCCGTTTATTCAAGAAGACCCATACAGTGATGGAAAGAAAGTGCTGAGATGAGGGCAAATTCAGAAGGCATTTCTGGAAAACGTATGCAAAGAGGAAGGAAAATGAAATAAGGTGACATAGCAGTAAAAGAAATCTAGCTTCAAGGCAGTGATAATGAAGACAAATTGAGTTTCAAGTTGAAACCACATTAGAGAGTCTTGAAAGCTTGAATTTGATGGATAAGAAGCTAGTGCATGGATTCAAAGATAGTCTGATGTGAAAAGATAATTTCATTTGCTATTGTTCAGTAGAGAGTGGAAAGGTGATAGCAAGGATGTGATGAGAAACCCTGTCTAGAACAACAATTAACTTAGAAGAGGGAAAGCAAAGGAGTGAATTGCATCAAAGGCAAATTTTATTAGTAACCTAATCCTGAAAACGGTTCCTACTCTGTTGTAAAGTATTAAAAAAAAAATCCATAAAACACAACAAAACCCAAAACCAAACACAAACCTGTGGCTAGTCAGTTTACTTACTAGAGCATAGTTTTGTCCCTGTTCTCTGTCAAAAACTGTTACTGCTCCTGTGTACATGTTCAGTGGTAGGACTCACTAAACCTGTTTAGTAAAGTTTAATTAGTAAATTAAAATGTTTAACTGCAATTAATGTTTTGTTTATTTTACAGATTACTGTGCGAGTAAATTTGCAGCATATGGTTTTGCAGAGTCAGTTAATTTCGAGATGAAAAATCTGGGAAAGACTGGTGTTAAAACCACAATTGTGTGTCCTTTCATGATAAACACAGGCATGTTTGATGGCTGCAAAACCAAGTGAGTAAACTTTTGTGAGGTTTTTATGCAACTTGCATGTTTAGCGTTTTATCTACTCCTGTTTTCTTTGTGAAAATCATGAGCTAGGCTTTTCTCTGCTTGTGTTATTTTTTAGGACCTCAGATGAGCATTAACAGTGCCATCCAGTGACTGGGCAACCCAAATGGCAAAACCCTCAGTACTTTACTATCTGTTTAAGCCAAAATGTGAAATGTAATTGGTGTCCTTTCCTCTGCAGAAGTCAAATGCTCCAGTTATCTTCTCTGGTTTCTAAACCCTTGTTACCTCCTGAAATCAGTGGCATAGCTTTGCTTGTACAATGTCAGATTTAGGAGCTGAGAAAAGCCTAGTGTGTCTTAACATGAGGACTGTGTGGATTTGTCTTATAAGAGATCACGCAAAGGGAGAATAACAATGGCTGCTCACTCTCTAACATAATGAAGGTTCTGTAGTTCATAGGATTTGTGGTATTTATTTCTTCTTTTAGTTGAATTACTGTAAAATAGAGACTAATCTTGAGTAAAATGTGAATCCAAATACTATTTTGTATTATAGCAAGAAATGTCGTCTTTTCCAGGTGGCCAAGGCTGCTTCCCGTTATGGAGCCAGAGTATGTGGCTGAGAAGATAGTCACTGCTATTCGGCAGAATGAAGAAGTAGTGCTGATACCACGAATAATTTATCTTTTATTCATTTTGAAAGTGTAAGTTATGCCTTTCCTTCTTTTCCTCTCTCTTTTCTGTCCAGGGATGTTTTGACTATGTTTTTGACTAAAAGTGCAGACCAGGCTTCTACTTGTTGGTGTGAATTTTCATTCTGTTCTGCATGTTTCTAGACTTTTCTTTTTCCATTTCTAGGAGTTCAGTCTACTCTTGGACAACAGAACAATGACAGAAATACCTAACTGTGGCTTGCTGACTCCATTGGGGTGCAGTTTTACTGTGGGTTGTAGAGACTGGGTCTGTTCCTCAGTGACTGCATATCTGGTGTCTTGCCCAGCATTAAGGCTCTTCTGAGTCTGTTGCAAGCCAGGTTGGGAGATTGATCTGTCTAATAGCTCAGGCTGCCAAATGAGTGTAATAGGTATTTTTGAGAGGACCAGTGGTACTCTGTTCTAGACATTCTCTACTGTCTTTGCCAGTGTTAGCCAGGTAAAACTAATTCTTTCATAAAACTGCATGACTCTTCTGATGTCCGTCTTGTTTTGTTGTTTTCTCTTGTTCAACTCCCCTACCTTACAGTATCCTGCCAGTGAAAGCAACTCATCAGCTTGCACACTATTTTGGACACTTCCATGTCATGGATGGCTTTGTAGGTCGAGCGAAGGAGGACTGAAAAAGCGCAAAATTCAGAGACCAGCGGCCCTGAAGTGGACCTTCTTAAAGGTGGTGGGAAAGGTCTGCTTTTCTAGCAGCTGTGAACTTAAGGTGCCTCACTTATTAGTAACAATTTTTAAGGATACTGCTTTTTAATTGGCCCTTAATCAACAGCTTTTACTCAAGCTATTTTTTTAATTCAGTGAACTGTTTTCTTTTCACCTCATGATGGAAATACATTAATTGAAATTAGTTCTTTTGGTTATGTCTCTTACAAAGCTTTAAATATGATCCTGCATCACAAACTAATGATCGGCAACTTTTGGGGACCAAGGGACCAAGAAACCACATATATTTGGCAGGGAGCCAGGAAAGCCTCTGGCAGACCTGACTTCTTGCTGCTGTTCACTGAACTGTGAGGAGGGGCTGTACTGCTGGTGCCATTACCATTCCCTGGTAAGCTGAGGAATTCAAGAGCTTCCTGAAACAACAGATTTGAATTTATACAAATGGAAGCTTTGTGAAATGAAGGTGTGTGCTGTGTTTGTACAAAACCAATGAAATATATTAATTTTTGCAGGTGGTGATCTCTGGGCTCACAGATGACTATAGATGTTGGCGCAGGGAGGGGGAAGGATGTAAATCATGTATTTGTGCTGCTAATCTACTTTTTGTCTAATTTATTTTAAAAGCTAATACTATGGCTGAACTTTGTAGTAGAAGTCTTTGTATCTTCTAAGTGCAGTATTTTTAAGAACAATTTTAAGTTTTCATCTCTTAAGCAGAATAAACTTGTAGTTCTAAAGCTTTATACTGCCAGTCTAGGTGGGTGTCAAACATCTTGCCAAGTAAGAGAATGAGATACTAAAAGCAAAGGTATTACACTGTATAAGCAGGGCTTTTCTTGGGATTGTTTCAGAAAGGAATGATGCTAATAGAACTGGAGTGAATGGGATCATTACAGCCATAGCATGAGTAACAGCATTGTTTTGCTTCTCTGAATTTGGTGGCAGGTTGCCTTGTGTCTAGAGACTTGTTTTACTTTCTGTTTACTCTTAGGATTATCCATTTATTTTCGACATGTGCTGAGGAGGCCTTGCCCTTTTTGACAATGGTCACTTAGAAAACCGAAAGCTCCCTCGACTTTTGGTAAATTCAAAACAAGAAAAAGGAAGATTGCACCTTAAATGTATGTCACTTATGCACAAGGTAGCTAAGCTCACCTCATGTCACAGTCCTCTACTGACAATTGCTAACACCTGCAAACTAAAACGCGTTAGCATGCCATTAATTGAAGGATGGTATGGAGAAAAGGGTGATCTATTTAATGTGTGTTTTGTTGTGGGTTTTCTTCCATGATGGCCTAGAAACTACCTTCATTTCCCTTGTCTATACCATGAGTGAGGTTTACCAGTGGAGAAAGGTTTACATAGAACTACTTTACTACTGATGAGCAATGCCTGTTGTGTTTCTTTTCCATGTGAGTTCATATTTCTGTGGTAGCAGAGATCTTGCTATTCTCTAATGCTTCAAAACAGAGAGAATATAATTTTTCTTGGCACTAACTTGATCCTCTGAACAAAGACTGAGGAGGAAAAACAACAACCAAAAAAAGCAGCTATCACCTTAATTACTTTATGAATGTGGAAATCATACCCAAGAGCAATATGCAGCTGCTTGGAAACTGGTCTTCATGGTGGTCTGATCTCATTTCAGTAAGGAACCAAGCAGATACCTCTTTTCTGGTAACTTTTCTAGGGCCAGTTGATCTTCTGAGGACACCTATGTGGACTGCATGTTTTGCTAAGCAGCTGTCCAAAACCATAGGCTTTGTAAAATTAGTCTTTTAACAAAATAACTTAGCTTCTCTGACTGAGTTGTTCTTTGCTGTGACAGTCAGGAGAGACAGGTTTGGATCCACTTCTATCAGATATTCCAGGAGAATACAGAACAACTGTTTCTCCAGTGAGACTTAGGGTTGTTGATGCTTCAGCAGGTGGGGGAGCATTACAGGCAGTGGCTTTTCTGTACTCTGTGTATAACACTCTCTGTAGTCCTAGGTGTCTTCAGCTTGACAGATCTTTACTCTGCTTGCTAAAGCCACCAAGCTCACAGCCTGAAGTTGTGCAGATAGCATATACCTGAGGAAAACATAGCTTTGTCTAGGGAAGAGGGGTGGGGAAAAAAAACCTGCACAGCTTCTTCCCTTGCACTCAGCAGTATTCACACTAGGAATAAGAGTATCCTCATGATATGGGGACAGATATATACTAGAAAAGGGTATGACCAACTCATAGGCTGTATGCCAAGGTGCCTTGCAGTGTTGGGTGTGCTGGGTAGTTACTGCCTGATCAAAACAGACCTTGATTATTGGTATAGCTGTGTTGAGAGATGTCACATTTACCTAAGGTGGTGAATAACTACATCTACCTAAGGAAATACCATTCTGCAGGACTTGTATTGGAATGGTCTTCCATACTCCCTGCCTGGGAGGGAAGAACTATAGAAAAGACCCATGGGAGGCAGAGTCCTAAGACAGGGTATGGCATATCTGACACTTTCCCCTGTCCATGTCTTGAGGTCCAGAGGCAGCATCCCTTGCTATGGCACAGAAAGAAGAATTGACAGAGCCAGAACATTAGCAGCAGCAACACCCCTGTCAGCAGATGCAGCCAACAGCAAAACAAAGACGTTCTTGCTGAACAAGTTTTGTCTCTTGTGAGTGAAGGAGCAACATGCCCCCTTCCTGAGGCAGACAGGAAGGCTTCCAATCCACCTTCTTTTCAAAGTCTTTTTAACTAGTTTTTGCAATTTGGTATGCCATAGCAGGCTCGAGCTTTACATCTGAGACCATGTAGTGACTTGCCTGTGCAATGCTTTCCCTCTTGGATTAATTAATCTCTTTAAAAATAGCAGGCATTTTATGGAGTGGCACCCTAACTGCTTTTTTTTATTCTTTTTTTTTTTATCCCCCCAGCCACAAGGCTAGCCTTTTTGCCATTATTTTTTTAGAACATGACCCAGAAATAACATATTTTTCACATCTGAAGGAAGAGCTGTGTAGTGGTTTATCCCAGCTGGCAACTAAAAGCCACACAGCCACTTGCTCATTCACCCTCTGGGGAAGAGAGTTAAAGAGGAAAAGGGAAGGAGACTCATGGG